TGCTCCCCCACCCCCGTTGTGTGTGTGTACGGAAGGATTTCTACGAGGGAGAGAGTGGGCGGTACCTCTCCCTCTCGAACCGGGAGGTCAGTACGCACTTTTTGACCTTAGCCGGGCAACGTTTCACCCCTCATTCCACAAAGACCATTTACGTACATACCTCCCTAAATGAACACGATGCGAGAAAACTCAACTTCGGTAGGTTAACCCTTCTTTTCACAAAAAAAATCCAGTACTCTTGGACAAACACTCTAAAATCAACAATAGTTTTCACTGTTAATGCCGAGGCAGGTGTGAATGTCGAAAGCTGGTCGAAGTTTTTGCCAAAGGTTGCGCAGACGGTAAGTGAAACTTACCACCACTGGCAGTGCAACGGAGCCGAAAAGCGGCTTGACTTAACACCCATCGTCTCCCTCGCAAAGGACCGCAAAGTCCGACGTTTTCAACTCGTTACAAGTTTGAAAACTTCGAAGACTTTGAAAGCCACCTTGCAGTCGGTATAGTTTAGTAATTACGACGTCAATGTTCGATATCGGCGTTAGGTTGGCCGGACGCCAAACATTACAGTCCCCGCTACGCTCTGCCAGACTAATATGTACACTAACGCAGACAAACCGAGCCTCGATCTGTGCGGGGCGGCGCGGTCGACAACAAATCTTCCCACCATCACCACCTGACGGGCCGCGAGGGGGCCAATACGCCGTGAAGAGACGTCTACAGGCGGTCCCCGGGGGATAAGAGATATTTCTGTCTGCTTGTGATAAGAATACACGAGACCATTAAATACCGCCCAATTATACGGGATTTCGGTCTAAAATTAATGTTCTTTTTATGAAGACAGACTTACGCTAACCTATTAACGATATATATACTAGTGTTAGGACGGCTAATTAACAAAAAAAATTTGTGGTAAACAAAAAAACCGTTTTCAACGATGTATATAGACCATGACTTAAGTAGTCGACAAATGACTTATACGACCAAAAAACACAAGAGGAAGACGTCTCGGTTCAGTCTTTCTTAACCCCAGAGAGAGACTCCCCTCTTTTCGACCTATTCTAACCCGAGTTGGACGGACGTCCCCTTCTTTCCTTTTCGTCGGTTACAGTGCAGAATGAGTGGAGTGATCATCTTCCCATACTGTACAGTGAGTCATCGTGGAAGAGTCGAGATTAATGACAAACCGGACGCCGGACCTTACAGCGACATAGTCACTCCGCAGTCAGAGTAAGTGTAATCACACAACCAATAAATCGATGACATTTATAAGAAAGAAAGTCCTGAGATAAGTAAACAACTTTATGAATCTATTAAACTTATTTTACATTATACATCGAAGTAGAACTTCGTTGAAACCAAAAACATAACGGACCGACGTACTATTCGAGTTTTAGGTCTCGAACGTAAACTTAAACAACGAGGAAGTCGGAATGAATGTGATTCGCTTGTATGACTTATAGGATGTTTGTGTTAAGAGGTTGGTAATGGGAAATATACTAAAACCATAATGAGACGTGGTGTAATAATAACTTCATATTATAATATAAAGAAGGAAATTTCAGAACGGTCCGCAGGTTCAGGGATCTGATGTCAATAAATTATGGTCCTCCCATGACCCGAATATTATTACTGTGTTGGACCTCTGGAAGTGGACAAGGGAAACAGTCACAGATACTTATGATTTTCTAGTCATATCGAATGGGACTTACACTACGAAATTTACCTTTGTAAAGTGACTAGTTGTAGATGGACGGCTATTCCGACTCCATTTATAATAAAGGAGGGAACGTGGGATGTGCGGATTAAAAATATTTACCCGACTACTAATACACGCCTCTCTTACTGATCGTCCGAACACAATAAATCTCTGGAAGTTTCGACTTAATTCGGACAATAGAACACAAACCGAGCGGTCCGTCCCGAGAACGACTGGAATTTTCTAACACGAAGACTTATCGACCGGCGTAGGAGGTTCATTTACACTTTGGCGTCGTGTTATATTGTTCATTCGCCACGAACAACCGGGTACCGTGATAGACGATCGTAAATCAAGTGTATTCGGGTAATACTGGTACGTTCAGTTTGGTGGAGTTCTGCCTATTATATCATAAGTAAGAGTGATCGAGAGGAAGGGAATTCGTTCTTCTGACCTCATGTCGACTAATAAAGACGTCAAGTTGGCGAAGTTGAAGTACACCTGAAACTTACGAAGCACATAGTCCAGTTTTGCCTATATACGAGGGCTTTAACTATTTGACGACTTCGGCCGGTCTGAATGGTAAAACTAGAGACGGGTTACACAGTTCCTGTAAGCCCAAAGACCAATAAGGCATCAGTTACCTGTCACCTAACAGAAACACACACAGACCGTCAGATATTCTCTGACATGCACACACTTCTGTCTCAAGGGACGTTTCGTTAACGACTTTATGGACCCGTCCTGGCGTTGCACCTTGCGGTTGCTCCAATTGAGAGCGTTCTTTGTACGACGAGCGACGTTTCATTCACGGAGCTGACGTACCGACGGAAAATTAAAACACGCGTTTCATCCTAATGGTACGATCTTCACAAAATTTAAGAATACACCCACCAGAAATTAATAACTAACTTCTAAACTGTTCAATTTATAGGATGTCTGAAGTAAGAGTCTAGTGTTATTCGCGTCATGTACAACAATTATACCTTAGAAAAGGGGAATTGAATTTGTAACACCACAAAGAAGAAAATCCTTATAGACATTCCTCAAGTGACTGGACGATTTGAGTCCTGGACTAGCGGAGACCCTTTAAACAAGGCCGGGAAGTACCTCGGACCAAGGAACACAAAGAACTGAGAACCGGAGTAGTGAGTACCGAAACCTAGAGGGCGGTAGACGCGGCGGTACTGAACAACAAACAGGCCTCGACACAAAACAACACAAAACACATACACATGAGACCGTCGCTGGTGGGTAACACAAACTAAGTGTACAACCTTCGTATTATAAGACAAGGCTGTTTAATAACACTGTTCGTGTATTCCTATTTAAACTCTACCGAGATATTTTCCCTCATTAGGAGAAATACTTATAGACAACTCTTGGGAGACATCAGAAATTAGAACGAACGGAGACCAGACGGGGAAAACCTGAAGTTATTTATTCTTATAAGTATAATATAAACTTTACTAAACTAAAACTAACTAACTAAACAAACAACACACACACACACACCACACACACTCCCTCCACTAACGATCCCCCTCCTAGTGCTATATGACCTACTTAAAAATGTCTGTGATTGTGCATGTGTGTGTGTTGGTGTGTGTGTGTTGGTGTGTGCATGTCAGCATTAACACAGGCACATGGGAAGTGGCAAACGTGCACTCCTAGCGCAAAACGCTCGGGTCAGGGGTGTAGAGTACATAATGTAACCTCACAGTCCCTCAACAGACTGCCACACTAACATATGTGCCATAAGGTCAACTGCGCCGCCACAGATAAACCTACCCATGCTGCAACCCCTGACGAACACACACACCCACGGAGTCTTTAGATTGGTACTAACTGTGTTGATGTAACCTATCCCCGGAGGAAGCAAAGAACCAAAATTGCAGACCACACAAAGAATGTCACGAACCCTACGCAAAAAACTGATGAGCCAAAGCAACTGAGCCAAGCTGTGCTTTCAGAAAAGCCTTTCCCATGGGCTGCTGAGCTTTAGTGTACAGATCTGTAGAGCTGCAACTCCTCAGTTTGAGGATTATATATATCTAAGGCAATCAGACAACCCAATCAAATGCTTGCAAATTACAGAGATATTGATAAAGAAAACAAGGAAATCAATTAGGTTTGTATTAGTTTCTATTATATTTTGGGAAACAGTGCTACTGTAGCCCTGTGTTACGCTGAACAAACTGAGACGTTTACTCAAATTAAACGTATTAATATGTGTGGAAGCATTTATAAACCTAAACTGTATTAGGTTAATTAAAAGCAATAATATGAATTTTAAATAAAACATATTAGGTTCGACTTGAACACTTTTACAAACAACAACAGGGAAATATTAAGTCCAGCTTGCTGTCATGTTGAATGAGTCTGAGCTCTGACCTGCGTAAAACCCCTCCCAGGAGCGATGCATTCAGGCACTCAGGGGGTGACAGACGTCTCTGGACCTCGGCCACGGTAACCTTGTACTTGGATGTGGAGCTCAGCAAGGAGAGACGGCCCGGTACGGAGCAGAACACCTCTGTGGGGTTTGATACCATGCCCAGCAGGGACTCTTTCTGGAAAGGAAGACACAACGCGTTGCCTTTGGGTAGGCTGACAGGCCCTGGAGGGTGAGGGGAGGAGAAGAAAAATGTGGGTAAGCTCAAGAGTGAAGGAGAACAAAAGGAAGGCAAAAAATAGTCTGGTTGTGCAACATAATTTGTTTATATATGCACTGTTCCTGTGTATGTACATAAGCTTTAATCATCCTAATCCTCTCTGTGCAACAAGGAATCTGTGTTTTCTTGTGAGTAATCACAAGGAAGAGTGTGTATGCAGCTCTGCACGACCAGCAATGTGCATTGCATGCCTAAAGGTTAAACTGCTAAAACGCCCTCATGGCAAACAGCATCCACAAACAGGTACACAAATACAGCCCCTCATCTAAGCCGCAGATACACCTCAGTACTGTTTATTATTTGATCTTAAAGGATCTAATATGGACGATGTGTGTGTTTATTGCTGGTTCTAAAGTTAGACAACGTTTTCAACCCCCCACAGAAGCACTGACAGTCATCGGACAAACAAAACAGTACAGCACACTACAAAACATAGCTATCTTTATTCTCACCCGCAAGAATTCCCCCCTGATAATAAGTCCTCTGTAAGCGATCAAGGTTCCTGCCACCTCGTAGTCCTAATACTGAGACAAAAATCACAGAGTCACATGAGTGCTTTAAGGCTCCTCTGGGGCACATGGCTGGGAATGACATGCCATTGTTTACAAGTGGAAAGCCTAGATTGCCCATAGTGTGCCCTTGAGCATGGGAACAATATAATGAGCCATCACTTATTTATGTAAGAAATGGAGACTGGTTGGTTTGTCGTGCTGTGCAAATGGCTTTCTGCATGTAACTATGCATTGTAACATTGTAACACTTAAGCAACACTGGATTGAATGTAATAATACATATCATCAAAATTGCTAGTGAGGCATGATAATAAGAAAATAAAGCATTTTAAAATACATACTTTTAAAATTAAGTATTATGACAGTGTATAGGTTATTACAGAACGTAATGAATCTGCCTATCTATCTGTTGCCTGCATGGTTTTATTAAATCTAAAACGCTTAGCAGTGGAATAATGTTGCTCAAGCGGATCTTGCTCTGACTCAAAGTCTGTTTAATTAAGCCCTGGTGACAAAACAGAGGGAATAGGTTCTTCCTCAAAACAGTTCATGTCCCAACAAATAACTAAACTGTCCTTCACATGCAAGCATAATGCCACACCCCGCCAAAGGCTGGTTCTGCAGAGCCAAACACTGCTTCAAGATCAACTCATAATTTTGTGTTAACGTGAACTGAAAAGCGCTGCAATTGCAAGCTTAACCAGCATAAAGATGATCCAAAGCTTTCCTCTTCTCTCACAGTCAACACGAGGTTGTGCGATTGCTCAATTTTCCTGTCTTGTCAGCTAGAGCCTGTCGTTTTTTTGAAAGGGATCAGTTCTTTCCCACTGGGCATCCATTCAAGGACCTTCTCCAACTGAATAGTCTAAGGATCACATCGAGCTTAGATAAGTGCATCTCATGGCTGTGAGGATTAGCTGTGTGTGCAGTGCAAGTACAAATACACGACTCCTCCTTTGCTGTGCTCTCAAACTGAGTGTCCTGACATGTCGCTATAGAAGTTAATGTTATGACAATTCAAAGTATGTAGAGAGTGAAAAAATCCTTACAGTAGATTTCCAGCCCTTGTCAGTAATTACTGCATCTTCATTTTGTTACACATGTTCCAGGCAGCATTGTGCACAACTTTCTTTTTTAAATGGGATTAAAGTTTAGATTGCTCATAAACATGCAATAAACTCACCTTTTTTGATGACTGTCTGGTCAGCCATAATAATACTGTGGTCATCATGCTGATAAAAAAAAGAACAGAAACAATGATAAGCAACCAAATGCATTTTTTGCACACCAATGATAAATGCATAAAAAGTTGAAATTAATTTCTGATAAAGTGTTCAATGTCTGTCCAAATTGTTCTTTCATGCAAAACAAAGTAAACTATGTGATTAAAATAGGTTTAATGTTCAATAACCCACGGAGTTAACTTTATACATAATAGAAAATGTATTATTGTCCCAAAATGTATTCCAGTATTTGGCTACTGTGCAAGCAGATACAATAACACAGATGCCGCGTGCAAGAACACACGCGCACCTAGGTAGGCTGCTCGCTGACCTCTACACACATAATTCTCTAAAGTGTAAATTCAAGTATTAATCTCAATAAAATCCACTCACTTGAACGTCATCCATCCCGTGAACCATGTCGTGCATTCCCATGTCACCAATACCCGACGACTCTATGCTGTGCACGTGCGGGGGCAGCAGCTCCGGCCGGCGGAAGCCTTCCCTCCTCACTCCGGAGGAACCATCCAGGCCCAGGATCTGACTCGCCAGGCCGCTCCTCCCATGCCCACCGAGCCCATCCTGGCCCTGTCGCCCGGGCCATTGCTGCTGGTTCGAAGACGGAGACTGGTGCAGCGAGTTGATGTTGAAAGGGTCGCCGAGGTGCGAGTAGGGGTCACTGGACTGCGGGTAGGAGATGGGCTGGTACGGAGGCGGGAAGTACGGCGGCTGGAAGTCCGAACTGGCCGAGTGTGAGAGGGAGGGAGACGGGCTGTAGAGGTGCTGGCTGACCGCTGGCAGGTGAGGCAGCCGGGGGTTCCCATTGCTGTTTCCGTCGTGCCTTTCCTGAGGGACGGAGGAGACATGTCAACTGAGAGCTGACAACAAGATGGCAGGTATGGTGACATGTGTCCCTCAAGGGAATCAAGTGTCTGTGTCCCCTGATATGATGTCCTCTGGATAAGGATTTAAAGAGGAGTGTGAATATTTTCAGGCGATGTATTAGCCTACATATGAACGTGGTCTATATTTTATTATTATTTAGCGTAGGAAAGAAAGACATTTATTATTTAAATTGTATTAGTTTAAATTATAGAAGATTGTTTTTACTTAGGCTACTATTAATGGCCCCAGTTTACGGTGGAATAAAATAAGCTATAGCCTACTCCTTTTGTAGTAGGCCTAAGTACACGTTTGTATTATTATTATTATTATTATTATTATTATTGTTAGATATATTACATAGGCCTAGTCACTATTATTACCAGTGTCGTTGTTGAAATAATAATGTAGCCTACATGTTCTAAAATTGTGGACTTTCTTCTAAACTTCTTATCACGATATTGTCACCTTTTTTGCTGATTGTTTATTATCTCCACGATATCGTGTTTTATTTTATCATTAGGATTTTTTTTTTAATCGACTTTTAGTAACATTACTTGTTTGAAGTGTAATGTCCGATGGCAATCAAAAGACAGTTTTCCCTCGTTTTGTAACTATCAAAACTCACCTCACAGTCATCCTCATACTTCACGTTGTCGGCTAATTTCCACAGCATTTTGTCAGAGAAAAAAGTTCTCTGTTACAAAAGAAAAAGAGCAAAAGAGAAAGAAAAAATATCTTGTCGCCTTTAGTTAATCCAGGTATGAAGAAATCAAGAGCTTCCTGGTGATCATGAACCACCTTGTTGTTGAGCTGAAGAGGCGAAGTTGCAGGTGTGGGCTAAAGTGACGAACTGACCGACCGACTGACAATCCAAACACATATGAGTTTCCAACAGCCACTATGGGAGAAAATGATCGTTGTCAAGCAATATTTCCTCCCCCTGTCCGTTCAATGTGTTCTATAGTTCTGTTGTGGAAGTGGGCGAACACGGGTGCATATAAGAAACTTGACTCCCTCTTATGGACAAAAAAGCGATGTTCAGTCTTATTGGTGCACACATGAGCACTGTTGCCTACTATATCTACACGGCCGCTCCGAGGGGGCGTCACCCTGCGATGATGTAAGTAAAAATGGAACATTTAAATATTGCTGATTGGCGGGAGAGAGGTCCAATCAGAATTCTGTCCGTCTGTACAGTGACATTTACCCTATGACTTTAGTATATATATCGAGAGCACACTTTCCATGGCTTACAGTGAGTTAAGTCTCTCACCACCTAGGCCTACTAGTTTGTTTTACTGTGTTTGTTTTTATCTCCTTCAGCACCATAGGTAGCCTACTTGAAGAAAGAGCCAACGTTTTGACACCTTTTGGTTGTCTTTAAGGATTATAAAAGTTGTGTAGGCCAGGCCTACATAGCGAGGAGACTGCTATGGTGCTTTGCAAATAGTTCTACAATCTTCTTAATATAAGTATGTTGGACTATTAATAACATTTTCATTTTTAACTTCTGCTGAGTAAATATAAAAAAAGTATTTGAGACAATCTGTTTCAGAACCAAGATAACTCGGGTAAGTTATGTTTCAGTGAAAGGTTGCTAGGTTACTGAGGTCCTCGTGGTGGTAATTTTGATGCTGAGTGGGATGCCTCTCGGCCAATCACAGTGCTCGGTTCAATAATTGTGATGTGTTCTTAACAATTATTTAAAAACATGCTGCATTTAGCCTTCTGTTTAGGCCTACTTTAAATAGTAAAAATGTCTTTAAGTAGGTTTATGAGGCCTATTTATTTTATCACAGATGTTAAAGTCAGGATGTAGCAATATAAATAACGTTTTGCTTGTTGACATTAGCGTTTTTAATTAATCACGCCAACAATACGAATTTTTTACCTTAAATTATGTATATACAAAATAATGTAATAATATTATCTCATTCTTCCATAAGGGATGTTATAATTAATAATAATATATGTAATGCAGCTGGCTTGTTTGCATTACTTTTATCAATGCCTATTTAAAATCTCAATGTGCTAAATGTCTATAAAGTCTCTTACAGTTGCAAGTCAGCTAGATATTAAGGAATACCTCTCTCTGATTGTATTCATAAATAGAATAATAGTCCTTCAAACAAACCCCATGCCATTGTGATGTCGGTGTTTCACAGTGGTGGTTGAGTGCTTGTCTCAAACCGCAATAAGCCCGAGGGTTTAGCAGCATCATTCTCTTAAGAAAACCTCCAAAGCTGAAAGGATCTCAACAAACAACTCTTTCTCAACTTCATTTACATTTTTGGTGAGGCTTTGCAATGTTACAAACAAGACTGCTTTGAAGCTTTGATTTGCATCGAAACCTAAACTGAGGACAAAGGATGTTTTTTCTTCTTTATTTTTGAATTAAAACAACATAAGAGTCAATTGTTTTTTTTTCGTTTCTTGCAGATTTTGTTTACCGTTTTAAATGTAGCATTTTGAAATATCTTCTGCAAGACAAAATAAGAATTGACGTCCAATATTATGAGCAATTTTATCGAATTGAATTATTTGATGAGTACATGTCAGATTGTAATTTGTGAGATTAATGGACAGAGTTTTGTATTTTTAGGATCACAGCCTGTCGCATCCACGCTGTGATCCTCGGCTGTGGGAACAACGACGAAGGATTATCTTTTTTTTGCGTGTTGGTCCTTGGCTTGTTGTGACGCGAAGCGGAAGTGAAATGCTCACTGATTAAATGTTATTTTACGTTGGAAGACACATAGAGCAGACCTAAAGGGAGTTAGTCACGCTTGGCCTGACAGTGATGTTTTGAACAAATCTGATGCTCATCTTGTCATTTTAATGACAGTCGACTGCAGTGACCACCGACTCATGATGTCAGGTGTAAAGATTAAGTGGATCCATGCCAGGGCAAATACAAAAAAGTAAATTAAGTGAATTCTGCTTAGTGATTTTCCACTAGTTAGAAATATTGCCTATATTTACTGTAATTATGTGAAATGTTAATTGTAATGTTTACTGCCTATACCACAAAGCTAATAAAGGTCATCATGACATTCAAATACTGTTAATAGTCTATGTTTTTACACGGTTTTATTTCTCCAAATTGCGATGAAACAAGTATATCTAATGGGATTTAATGTAGACCATTAGTACAATAATATATGTTTAGTCAATGCGACTCAAACTGCTTTTGAATCCCTTTAGAGTTCCCGTTTCTGCAGGACTGCTTACTCTTTAATGTTATATAATTAAAATAAAACACACATATATTCAGCTGTAGTTTATTTTTAAATAAAAACATGATAGATAATGTTGTCTAACTAATGTTTAATTGAACGTCTATTTACGTTTTTAAAAGCATCACTCAAGTCATTTGTAATCCAGTAGCTCAAAAATAAATGTGTCGTTTGAGAGAAGGTCTTGGCTTTATTTCCATAAATCACAGACGCCATTGCAAACAGGTAATTTTAGTGTAAAGTCATAACAACAAATAAAGGCTCAGCAGCAAACGCGATAAACGTGCTGCAGGTTGGGTTAAAGTCAGTCAGCTGTAGGAGGAAAACACACAGGGAACTCACCCTCCAGTCTATCCTCTCCAGTAGAGACATCTGCAAGGCTCCAGTAACAGCAATCCCACAGAGAAGCAGCGAATGAGTGAAACCATGAGAGGTTTACGTTGCTGACTTCACCTGATGGCCGTGCACTGCGCATGAGCCAATCAGTGTACTACACCTGAGTGGTATAAATCAAAACAAACCATCCATCGAGGAAAGCCCTCATTTATGATGATTTATATAAGGCAACCTATATATTAAAGAGATTAAGGTGAGAAAGGGAGAAGACGTATTAAAAAATGTGTTTTGAAATAAAGTAAACTGAATAGCATATGACTCACACGATTAGATATTTAACAGAAATGTAATTATTGTTAACCCCATAATTATCTATTGTTGAGTAAAAAAAAAAAAAATGTCATAGAGGCTAAGTGTAAGGAAAGGTGAAATAAGACGTGGGGAAATTTGAAGATGAGGTAATTCCACCCCCAAAGCCACATCGCCCCAGGCTGACCAAAAGAATCTGCTTTCAAAAGCCACTGAAGCTTTTTAAGGCCTAAAATGGTTCTTGTTATCTGATCTCCCAAATACTTCGGCTACAACTAATGAACACACCAAAGTGTCTTCACTATGCAGTTAAGAATGTAGTTTACATATCTTCCTATGAGAAAATAATCTCACCTCTCTGATCGGGAGCTCGGACACCTGCCATAAAAACAAAGCCTTATCAAACTAGTTTCAGATCATTAGGACATAAAAGAGGAACAATTGTGCGTGTCTAAGGCTGTATCCAAGATTTCATGTTTCAGAACAACATATTAATTCACAGTTTAATGTATATGAATATATTATGTCTTTGTTGTTAACAGGCTGTATTAACCATTTTGTGTTTCTTGAAAAAGAAAATGACGGAAAATTGAAAAACATGGGCCATATAGAGGCCTATTTCAAACTTGTTTTTTAGGCCATAACATTCCTCCTGCATGTGATTGGTAAATGTATCTGAAGAATAATCTCAGATCAGAAACGTATCTGGTGCTCCCCAAGAAATTAAGGGGTCACATCAAGCCAATTCTTTGATTTGCAATAAATACAAGACAAACGAAAGGGCTGTTAACGAAATAAACCATTTTCTTTGCACAGGAGCAACGACATTTTCAACAAGAAGACGATTACATAATACATTGAATTAGAAAACGAACATGTTTTTATTATTTCGAGAGCATTATTTCGTTGTGAACCTAATATTCAATGATCTACCGTGCGCAAAGATATACATCAACACACAGAAAAACATGTCATAGGCTGCTGTTGGATGGAGACAGAAGGACGCAGTGTTTATTTGATTTCTTTAGCTACAAAGATTGGATTATTTATGGTGTAATTTACATTTAATGAGAAGCAGGCGGACTACTCTTTGTATGATCGTTATACACCCAGCGACCTTGAGAGGAGGTCCTGGAGAAGACTCTGCTGCCGCCTGGTGGCCAAACCCCCACATTACCAAATGTTTGTTATATCTTATAAACAAGAACATATTCATATACTGATGCCGTACATCAGTGAATGAGGTATAAAATCAAAGTACTTCTATTTGAGTATTACTACTTGACACTTATGTTTCTGCAAAGGCAATATAATGCACTGTTATCTCCACTACATACATTTTACAGTGAATACAATCACATTGTTTTGCAACTGTAATATACACATTACACATGCATGCATCAGCAATGATATTCCCTTAAAGTGGCATCCACTACCCTGTCATTGAAAAATAAGGAATATACAATTTGATCATTATTAACGTATTCACAAGTTCGACTACTGCACACGAGGCATTCTCACTGAAATCTAAAGTGTTCACATCACACTCGTTTAAATTGCATATTGGGGATTGAATTCTAAACTTGTTTATGTCAACTGGTCCTGCTCATGTACATGGTTTAATTTTGATGCATTTAAATAGGTGTGGATACACTGTTACCAGCACCACTGGGCTATTCAATGGAAAGCTGCTGTTTTGATCTCCTGTCACCTCAGACGACAGGAGTGGACATCTGTGCGAGACCGTATGTGTGGCAGCAACCAAGCAACCGGTTTGTTCTGTTTTAGGGATATTTATGGTGTTAGATGCTGCCAGCCGGGTGTCTTGATTAACAGCCTGTACATTAAACCTCCAAGCAGGTGCGGTTTTCACACCTCAGGCTCCTACATGTAAACACATGTAAGCTGCAGTACATATGAGGAGCTTTTTATAGTTTGTTTTTGGTGTGTTTTTTCCCTTGGAGGCCACTGCAGGGAGTTGTTGCCACTTACGTCATCACAGGTAATGATTGGTCTTTCTTGCACACAGCATTGTGTAACCATTCCCTATATTACAGGAAAAAAGCATTACAGTGAATTTGACTTGTAATACAGGCT